TATTATATATAATTAAAATTTATAATAATTTATATATAAATAAATAGTATATTTAAATATAAAATTATATTTAATTGTATAAGTAGATATTTTTAAACATATAAATCATATTTTAAATTTATGATAAGTAATTTATATTATAGAAAAAATTTATTCTTATTAATTAATAATTTCTTTTAAAATATTACTATTTAATTTATAAATAATTGATAAATAAAAATTAAATTAAATAAAAATTTAAAACGATTCCAACAACTCCAAAAAAAAAAGACACTCTATTGTAAAATAGCGATTCGTCTCTTATATATTAGATTGATTATTACTATTGAAAATAGTTCAAACTCATCTTTTTTATTTTTATTATTTTTATTTTTATTTTTTTTTCGTCCCTGAAGTATCTATGAATCCCTGGCTTTGCTTAAACGTGGATCAACCCCTACCGCTGAACCACACACTTAGGGTTACTCATCTTTTTTATTTTAATGATTATATGTTATTATTTTACTATTCTTAAAATAGATCTTAATAGCTAACATATATGTAATTAGATAGCTTTATCCAATTATCCTTTTATAAAATTAAAAGTCCATTTCAAATCTTAATATACAAATACTTTCTAATGTCATTAACTATTGGAATTGAATAAGTAAAAGTATGTAGCAAGCTCGTCTATTATTCAAGAATGAATATAAAAGAATATTTAAATTTATTTCTAACCACTTACATGTATTGGTATTTACTTTAATGGGAAGGTTAATATCAAACAGGGTCCATAGCTCAGTGGTAGAGCATTTGACTGCAGATCAAGAGGTCACCGGTTCGAACCCGGTTGGGCCCTTTTTATTTATTTATTTTTATTTCCTTTTAATTAATTTATTTTTATTTCCTTTTAATTTATTTAGTTATGTTTATTTCCATTTAATTTATTTAGTTATGTTTATTTCCTTTTAATTTATTTAGTTATGTTTATTTCCTTTTAATTTATTTAGTTATTTTTATTTCTTTTTAATTTATTTAGCTAACCACGCCTTTTGTTCACAACGTGGATTGCTTGTCAAGATAAAGATTTATTTTTATATAATTACATTTTCTTAAAAAATTAATATTCAAGTTATATTAAAATTAAAATTCACAATAAATAAATATATTTAAATATATAAACCTAAATTTGAATTTATAATCCATAATTAATCACAAAATTTATTTATACATAGAGACAAAGAAATATAGTTTAATGTAATTGAGAAGAGTAATTTTAGTTAATAACAAAAAATAATGTATAAAATTTATATTCATAGAAAAGAAGAAAAATAATATTAAAAATATTTAATTGAGCGAATGAAAATAACCTAAATAATAAAATAAATTAGTGGGAATAATGTTATATTTTAATTTTTCTACTATATTTATTTCAATTTATAAGAATAATTTTTTTTTTTGAAGCAATAAGAATAATTTATAATTATATATATATATATATTTATCATTTCAAAATAATCTAAATTTATTTTAAATCTCTGTTGGAAATATTCTTTAAATATCTTTAGGATAATAATAATATAGATATATGATAAAACAATAATATTGTAGTTTTTTATAACTAAATAATAATAACAACAATGCAGTTTAACCCACTTCATGGTTGACGATGAGATTTTTTCATGACGTATATATAATTATTGTTTGGGGTCGAATCATTTTAAGACGTGGATTCAATTCTCTTTTTTTGGTTATTTAAGTATGCTATAAATATTGAATGTCATGGTGTCGTGCGTATGGTTTTGTATTATTTATATAGGATAATTAATGATACTTTGAGTGTAGAATATTAACTTATATCTTATAAATTTCTTGTATATATAACACCTTTAGATTTCGGAAGATATCTTAAAAAAAATATTGTAAGCCTAAATGACAATTTTAGCCTTTCTTTTTCATCGATTTTAATTTTTTTATTTTAAAATAAAATATTTAATCTTCAATTTTTTAATATAATATATATATATATATATGAGTACATGAAATTAACATGATTTAATTATTACATTTTAACATCTTCTCATAGTAATGTGTTATTTAATGATATATTTAAATAATTTATTAATAAAATAAATATGAATTATTCATTAAAATAAATAAAAATAAAGATCCTTTTATATATTATTTTTTATTTTTTATCTTTAAATATCACATTATTAAATATCACGTTACTTAATAACATGTTATGTATAATGTTAAGATTTAATGATTAACAAATATATATAAAATTAATAATAAAACTAAGATTTAATATTTTTAAAAATAAAAGACTAAGTATCTTTATTTTAAAATATAAAGATAAAAATTATAAATTAACGAAAATACGAGTAACAAAACTACAATTTAATCATATCTTAATTACAAAAAATGAAATTTAAGAACAAGGTAAGGTGTGACTATATATTTTACTATCTTTCTTTTTAGTATAAATATTCTTTTATTTATAGCTTTTGTAAAAAAAATTTCCCCTTCTTTTAAAAAGTTTACTTTTAGAGTTTCTGTAACATAAGCCTTTAGCTTTTGAACTCATTTCAAAAAATATTATTATTATTATTATATATTTTTTCAAGATATATAATTTAAATATTATTTTTTTTATTATTAAAAATTCACTTTAAAAATATCTCTAAAAAATATACAAATACAATTATTTTCTTCAAGGTTTATCTCTGAAATATTTTTATTTTTTTTAAAATATTATTATCATATTTAAAAAATCTCATTTTAAGATTTATCTTTTTGTCTAACAATGTATTAGGTCGGTCATGAAATTATGTTTGGTTTAACTTTTATTTTTAAAAGGAAAATATTCAGAAAATATTAGCTCAAATTAAAACAATTTATATATGAATGGAAGTTAGAGATTATCATAATTAATATATTACGATATAGATACTTTATTAATTTTTTTTATTTTTATTTTCTTAAAGTTAGCTGTCATAAAAATGAAAAAAAATATATTTAGCCTATAATGTATAGTCGAAAGCTCAAACTAGGGCTTCGTAGTGCTTTTCATAGGTAAATCCATGCTTTCTTCAAAGGTTAGAATAACCCTTTCAATTTTTGCCTTTTGAAATTTCTGATCATCATGCAAATTACATACCTCCTAAATAAATTTAATTTACAAGACACGTAATCTTATTATAGGACGTTGAAATTATTGGAAAAAACACACCACTAATTATATAAAGACAGAAAATGAAATAAACATGACATTACAAGGAGGACAACTGTTATATAATTAATAATAATACATTTTCTTTTGCACTCTTAATAGATTAAGTTTATTAAGATTAAAAGTTTATATCTACTGATCCCACCACCATTACTGTATAATTTGCATCCACTCTTTATTAATAAGGTCAATATACATTTTTATCAAATATTAATTTTAATGTATAAATTTATAAAATATTAAAACATTTAAATGTATGTTATAAGTATTTTAATTTGTTTACAAGAAAAAGTAAGAGATAATTTCGATTAATTAGGTGAACAATTTACCTTGATAGGTCTCAATACAAGGGTAGATTAGATAGCATTCTCATAATTGTGATTGCATAATGAAGTTGGAGCTTGACTAAGTGATGGATGACACTCACCCATCAATTAAAACTTTTAAGACAAAATTGAGGCATCAACACTTATAATTAGTTGATTAGATACCCCACTTAATTAAAACATAATCAATTGGCCAACCAATCCAACTTGTTTGTGTGCACTGGGGACCTTATTGACAAATAACTAGTGTTTAATGAATGTTTTCAAATGAAAGGGAACCCAAAATGTAAGCTCAAATTTATATTGTTTGGTTCGTTTTAGAAATAGAAAAGAATATTATACCGATTAATGTTGAGTCTATAGTAGGAGTTAGTTCTTAAAAATACAGTGAATCAAATTTTGAATCTCCATGTATAGATTTAATTTTCAACAATACCTCAAATATTAATACCTAATTGATAGAACAAAAAAAAAAAGAATAAAATTCATATAATTTTTTTTTATAAGGGTGTTATGCACTAGCTTTCGTGATCAACTATACATAATGATCTCTAAAAAGTAATGGTGGAAAGAATAACAGATCAAAATACTAAGCTTATCTTTATCATTTCTATAACAATAGCAAATAATTAGTGGTTAATTTGATGTCTTCCCAAATGCCTATATTTTTCAAAAATCACAAAATATAGGTTAAAAGGAAAGGTTAAAGAAGGGGACTCTCTACTTTTCTTATTTAAAGAGAATTGCAATCTTATTTTAAAGAAAAAAGATAGATATACACATACGATCTTCTTGGTTCTTACTTCTTGGCAATTGGAATGCTCCATGTTTAGGTAGTCGTGGAAATGGCGGAATTAAGATAACCTAGAATTGTTTTCCAAGTCTGACAATTTTTTGACCCTTTAATTTGTTGTTTAACTTTTTTTACTTTTAAATAAGAAATACTAACAACATTTTCTCCAATTTTTCTTATTAATATTCTACTTATTATTGATTGAAAATCATAAATTTTTGTAAGTTTATCAATAAAAAAAAGGAAAGATGCTTGTGAAAAGAAACATGATACCTATGAAATTTATGATTTTCAATAAATATTTCAACTAATAATAAAGAGTGTTAGAGTAGGAGTATTAGAGAGTGCCATCGATATTTTATATTAAATAATAACTTATCTTAAAAGTATATTTAAACACTTATTTTGTGTGGACCACTAGGGTTAGCCTAGTGGTTGTATGGGGAGAGATTGTGATAGTTAGACCTATGAAGACCTAGGTTCAATCCTCATTACAACCATCTTTGTAATCTTTCCT